CTGCAAACATGAGTTTTCAGATCGGAAAAGATTCTGAGCTTTGACTAACGCAAAAACTTCTATAAAATGCTCGATGAGCAGAAAAATTGCATTTTGAATTTTAAATAGCTTGATTAGAAGTTCTATAAAAAAAAATGATTAACTTTTATGACCAATCAAGAGTTCATTTTCGATCAAACGTTCTCATTTTTGTTCAATTGTTGTTATGCCAATATCCACAAGCGTAGACACTCCAGGGCAGGGAGAAAGAGAGAGAAGAGTAAGAGTTAATAAAATACATACATATTGAACAATGTGCAAAAGCCATTCAAAATGTTCAATTCGAAGATAAATCAATTGAATTGGCATTGATATAAGATAAGCAAGTATTTTTGCTCGTACTGTATTGTGATCAATAGATTTATATTTGTACTCTGAAAATATATAATTATTATACCAATAAGAATATTTCTACAAGTATATTTCTATCAATTATTTATAAAAATGAATCCTCTCATGTTAACTATGCAATTTTCCCTATTACATAACATCGACTAATATCAGTATCCAACAGCATTACAGATGCTCACAGAGTGAATTTTTACATTCTGCCCTTATAAAAAACAAACAAAACTCATCCTGTTCTATCATGACTTGCTGTACTGGATCGAATAGAGCAGGATATCGTATCACTCTGTAGAATCGATATCCGTGTTCACTCTGACACTCAAACCTGTTAATAACAGATGAATATCATCAAAATCAAATGATATGAAACTCATAAGTAAAACTATATTGTCAATATGGTAAACCCAAGAGAAGAAACACATTACAAAGTTAATTTTTCGAAAATTATTACATTTACTTTTTTTATTATTTCTAACATGTTCATTCGAATGTACATCGATGAAGAATAACTCAAAGTACCAGAGGTGGTGGGGCAATTCTAATCTAGAGGAGAATTCAAAACTTCTCAGGCAGTGATAAAAAGGTGATGTTCGGGGAAGGATATTTTTTAGCTTTTCTACTTTAACTTTTATCAAGGGATATCGGATGTCTCAATGTGTTTTCAACGGCATCTATTTGACATATATACCCTTCTATAGTCGACTGATATAATCTAGGAGCGTTGTCGAAAGATGTCCTATGGAAGTTGAAAATCCTTCGTGATTTTTTTTTTGAAATTTCCAGGATTCATTTTAATTAAAAAATTTCTATTTCATAGCATAGAACATAATATAACTTTCCTAAAAAAGAAATCCATGATTTGCAAGAATAAGCGTTCATCTTTCAGCTGTTCTTTATCTGAAGTCTTGTCTACTTTCATCTTCGGTCATATGCCCGTATTTATCTCAATTTCGTTCAGTTGACGATGAAAGAAGTACCTAAGTACAGGAACTTTCAGAAAAGTTTCGAAAAAATGAAATATAGACGCTGTTGTTAAATTCTCTATAACAATCTATCACAACGTTTTATCCACCTGTCCTGATGAGTTCTTAGAATAGTGAAAGATAGGATATATATAAAACATTGCTATGTCGTATCATGTTGAAAGTAATAAAAATATTTGTCATACATATTTTTTCACACAAAAATCTTGAAAACTTGGATCTGTTTTTAAAGAAGCAAAATGTTCTCTTGAGTTGTCTTAATTGGTTTTGAGAGAGAACTAAAAACAATAGACATGCAAGATACTATATTTTTCACTCTTCTAAATTAAATTTGCTCCAGTATTTAAACGAGTAATTGTCTGACTATTCACTTTTAATTCTTTAAGGCAATCTTCATAGCGTTCAGTTTACTGTTATCGTGAAAAATTAGAATGTGTTATGCAGTTTTTCTTTTTCCCTTCTCCAAATTTATTATCATCAAGCAGGAAAACCTTTTTTCTATGAATATTGTGAAGAGTTCAATCATATATCTATATAAGAAATCCATATTTTTATCATTTTTTGAGGAAAATAGATATTATTTCATACATTAAGCTAATGGGACTTTTTAATAGTTATTTTAGACACTGTCGACAACGGATCCTTTGAAAACAGTCAAAATTTTAGCATTTGTACATGTGAAGATACATACAATATAAACTATGTTGGTAACATTTTGTGATATTCACCCTCAAATTCGCAATGACGCTCCTAAAGTTTTCTCAAGTATCGAGTCTCTCTCTCAGATGTCTTTCTTAGTTTTTCACTAAGACTTGAGCTTTCTTAAACGCAATTGGTGTGCCGCTTATCGTGCTATCTAATATAAGGGTGAACATACTATTGTTCAAAGAATTTTCGTATACTAAATATAAGTCCATGCTAAGATCTGTGGTTTTTTTTTTCAAAATATGAGCCCAAGAGAGAAACATGATTCTGTGATTTTACGATCTAAAATGATTTAACATGATTTAATTTTGATTTTCAGATGATTTAAATCACTTGTTTCTCCCTTGTATGAGCCTCCCCAAGCCTAATGGCTCCGCCGCCACTACAAAGTACTAGCTACTATCGTCTCTGTAACCTATTTTCGTTTTTTGATCCACAAAAACTTTAAAAAAAACGTCTTTTCTTGAAGATGAAACTCATAAAACTGATGTATAAATTAGAAGGGTATAAAGATCTTACTCTGTTCTCTCAGAGCACGGTCAAAAAAAGATTTTTTTTATTCTGTCCTAGGACAAGCCAGGATAAGGTTACCTTGTGTGAACATCTCTGAATGACATACGTTTGGTGAACAAAGACTAAACTTCTAGTTATTTCATGTTAATAACATAGAACAATATCTTAATTTTTTCTGAACAAAACAAAATACATTTTTGTAGTGAAAGTTGTCTATTGAACACACTAAGACACTTGTATAAATGCTTACAAGCTGAGCAAATTACGTTCACAGCATTTACTTATTTTATACTAATGAATGATAAACGAACAGCTGATTTACGGGATTCTAAAATATTACGAAAACTAAAAAGTATGACTTACCAGAACAACGACAAAAGTGAGATCCAAAAACAAGTCTTGTAATGTATTGGAGATGAATATTAGTCAATTTCCATTGTAATACGTCCAATGATGATTGTAAAAACATTGAATATTCAGGGCCATGGACAAATTTTTCGTCTCCTATAGAAAAATGAAAACTTTATATAAAACTCAAGTCTAACGATGGGAAGGAGCGAAATAGACTAATCTCTCTTACTTTTTCAAGTCATGTCTGCGAATATTTGCAGTGATGGCCCTAAAATGATCTGTCAAACACTAGTAGACAGCTTTTTACCTTCTGTTTTCTACCAGATAGTCTATGCAGGGACTGCGCAACCGAGAAAGTAAGCTAACTCTTGAGTTTCGAAAATCTGGCTGACATTTTCTTTGATTTTAGCAAAATGCTTTCTTCATTTTTGAGATATGCTTGCTCCACTGCTAAGAGCCAGTTACGTCGATTTAGGAGCTTCAACATAGGAAATCTACCAAGAAAATCACAATGAAGAAGAGAAAACGATCTTTAGTTCGTACTTTCTAAGAAATCTTCTCAAAAAAACCTATGACTGTCCCATATGGCAAAAAGTTCTTTGACCTGTCTCCTTTTTTCACCAGTACTCTTCTCCCTGGTACGAACCTTTCATGCTGTCTATGAGTTTGAGAAATTTCAATTTTCTCTCCCTCTCCCACTTCTAAAGAACATCGAGAGTCCTAATAATATCTTCAAATTAACCCTAGATAATTCTATGGATAGATGAAAACAATATTATAGATATTTCCGAATTTCACTACTAAGATTCTCACAAGATAGTATTTTACTGATGGAGAAAGTCTAAGGTACTTTTCTCCATATATTCTTTAGAAATTGACCAGTTTGATTTGACTCTGAATCAGACGTGAATTTAAAAAGTTTCTTTGAATTATATTAATGAGTGTAAACAATAATATATATATCCTAACAATATTAGCTTCAGTCATTATATGTATGCTATATTAATATTATTTTCTGACAGCTGGCAACAGTACACTAGAATGATTCCATTGATACGAAATGTTTTTTCGAGACTTCATTTTTCTTTTTCTTTTCTATTTTTTTGATTTGATGAATTTTTTTTTGTTTTTGATTCAACTATTAAATTTAATCAAATACTAACCCATATTAAATTGAATAGAAGTTATATGAGGAAATAGAATATCAAATTGTTTGAGAAATAAATCAATCGATGGACATAAATTAACCTTTAAAGATTTCATATGTTGCCAATCGAAAATATTTGAATAATATCTAAAAGATGCAAAAAACAAAAAATAAATTCTATGGATCTTTACAAAACGAATCTTCTTACTTAATACTATCAAAGAATTTCGGTTTGATCATTCCAGTTGATGATATATATTGATATGACATTATTGGATCAAAGAAACATTTCACCTTTATCCAATGATGATCAATAAAAAATTGATGAATTTTAAATGAATTTTCTATTATTTGAATATTATTATCCGATAGTAATTCACATTTGAATAGAATATAAAAATTAAAAATAATTAAATTTCTCGATATATCGGGCATACAATATTCATTAATAAAATTGGCATCAATAAAACAATGTCTTTTCATTAAATCTTCTTGATATGTTAAATTTATATAGAGTCGAAGTTTTAATTTTTCAACATAATTAACATTATTAAGAATCCATTTTAAATATACAAACTCCGAATCATGAAAAATGTTACTTTTTAAAGTAAAACATTTTAGTTTTGGAATCTACAATTAACTAAATAATTACTCCAAAATATATTTTTATTTTAAAGTGAAATCTTTTTTTTTTTTCTACGGTGTAAATTGTTCAACAAGACCTAACAATTGACAAAAATAGAAATTGTAAAGCTAATCTATCCTACGCAAGACTAACATTCACTGAAATTTTTGGTTCAAATCAGATGAAAAATAAAAAGAACTTTAATTGTTAGGATATGACTCTCTTAAAATACCTTTCAAGCATTAAAATCTTTCCCTTCCGAACAATCGCCAAATACATTATTTTTTTTTTTCTCTAAGAAAAAAAGTGAAATGACAGACTGTCAGAATTCAAAAGATTAGTCTAGAACAGAGTTGCCAGTCTGACAGGCGTTTGTCACGCCGCCAGGCTAGATGAAGTTTTGAGACTTTAGCCTTAGTTATGATTTAATATTAATTTTTCTGCTATAAAACAAAAGATCTATTATAAAATGATACTAAAGAGTAATCAAAAAGTTTCGGCCCTCTTAGTAAATCGATGTTATTTATGACAAACTTATATATAGATAATTGATCAAACTATGTGATTATGTAGAGAAAAAAAGAGAGAACTATCTTCTGAAAAACAAGATACTTCGAAACGCTTAGGTGTAAAATAAACGTTATCGCCATTTTATTCATCTTGAGTAAATATTTTGCATCTTACATCTTTTGAGAAAAATATATATAAAAAAAAAGTAAGATGAAAATATTTACTCAAGTTGTATAAAATGACCATAACAGTTATCTTACACTTTAACGTTTGGAAATATCTTGTTTTTTAGAAGATAGATTTTTTTTTCTCTACAAAATCACATAGTTCGATCAATTATCTATATATAAGTTTGTCATAAATACCATCGATTTACTAAGAGGGGTCGAGACTTTTTTGACTATCCTTTAACTATTAACAATTTTTTACATAAACTGTAGACTTTTAAAAAAATGAAAAAGATCTATTAGAGTAAAAGAGTGAGAAAATAAAAGAAAGATAATAGCTATAAATGACTATTTCAATAGAATAAAACAAAGTTATTATTCAGTTTAAGACAGATCTTTTTTTTTTTTCATAATCTATATGTGCTTGACAATTTGAATAGAACAATATTGCATGACAACAGTTGTGTTTTATTGTCTACTTCTGCTTCATCTATTCAGAAATCAGGTCTAAATATTTTGCCATCTATAGGGATGGGTCTTTCACTTTCTTTTCAAAAAAAAAAGAAAGAAAGAAAGGTTTTTACTTTCCTTTACTAAAATAAAGTTGAATTAATTATTTTATTTTGGAAAAAAAGAGCATATTCGGGATCAGCATTAAATCCTGAATATAACTATGGAGTAAAACTAGGTAAGTCTTTCCTATCGAGAATGACTTTCATTTTTCTCCTGTTGTTTTGCAGCATATGATGGACTCAAAACTATGCAAAAAATTCTGTTATCAATTCTATGGAATCATAGTTGTTCGTTAGACGAAGAATTTAATGCTGACTCCGAATGTATTCTTTTTTTTCACAAAAGAAAATAAATAATTGCACTTTCTTTTAGAAAAGGAAAGTTTTTTTCGGAAAGAAAGTAAAGATCCCATTCTTAGTTATTCGCTTCTTCTGTGGAATTATTGTTGTATTCTACTAAATGGATAAATTTATTAAAACACGAAAAAAATCTACTATGATATCTTCGCTAATAAAGAATCATCAACTATTGATTCCTATATGATAAATTGTTGCTTTTGAAAAAGTTTTAAATTGTAGAACAACAGAATTTGATAGGCTCAAGATATCAGAAACAGTAGTTGACCTGATCTGCAGACCAAGCCAAGCTCCAAACTACTCTTTGATTTTTAGTCTGGCCTGTAGATTAGGTCAGACTGGAAAAAAGTGGTCTGTTGATAGCTCTGATCTAGGACATGTGAAATGAATTTTGTAGTTTTACACAGGAATAACAATTTATTTGGAAAGATTTACATACGAAAAAATCTATTTCTCACTAATTAAACAATTGTTACAATATGTTTTGTTTATTTTACCTTATCATACCAATTGACAATAGTTGGCGTAAATGTTTTAACCGTCACCGGATATAACGATTGTCTAGCCAATGTATCTCGGATTATAACTGATAGAATTTCAAGAGCAGGTACATGTTCAATAATATCTTCGATAAAATAACCATAAATAACATGAATGTGTAAACGACGAAGAGTCATACAATTAGTAACAAGTTGATTGTCGATTTGATTTGAATAAGTATGAGAAAATGATGAAGAAAGACAGTCGTGTATTTGAAAAAGAGAATTGTCTTGTGAAATATTAAGTCGAAGAGAGGTTAATTGACATTTAGATGAAAAAAGTTGACGTATGAATCCTTGACACATGATTGTCAATTTTTTAACTATGTCATTAAAAAAAAAACAAAGAACAAATCTTTAGTATTTCTTTTTTTCAACAACAAAATCTATCAGTTTCATTTGTTTTCAATTCTTAACTTCTAAGACTTTTTATGATAAAATGAATTGTTTGACGAAAAAATTTCAATTTACCTTGATCACAACCATTCTTGCCAGATTCGTATTCATAGTAAAACATTTCAAGACTATCTTCATCAATTGTTAAGATTAATTCATCTAATTGATATTGAATAAGTAAAGATAAATTATTAATTAAGATTTCTGATAGATAACATCGAGTTAGAATAAGTGATTTCAAATTAATAAAACAAATAAGATTTTCTTGAAAAATCCATTTAGATATAAGATCAAAAAAAACTGATTTTGCTCCATCAATATAAATTCGTTGTATAGAAATAGAAAGAGTTGAATTAGAAATTATTGACAATAATATTGACTGATATTTATTTAAAGATAAATCTGTTTCACTAATAATAATTCCACTTTTATTTCTATCATAATTTATTGAAAATATTGAACAAACAAGAGAATTAAATCGTTTATTAATTGACCAAAATGATTCTATCATTTCAAACCATGTTAAATTCGATAATATATTAAGAAGAATTTCATTTGCCAAACTTTCTAATGTATTTATCATTTTATTCTAAACAAACAAAACTCTTATTAACTTATACAAAATACATTGTTATTAATACACATATACAAATTCAACTATCCGTCTGATAGTGACGGCGTCAGGAACTTGAGCCTTTTTTTTTCAAGCAAAGCTAAACCGTTCATAGAAGAGCTAAGTTCTCTCTCCATAAAGACTATCAGTTACCATTCATCTATCTTTCTTTGTCGCTTGCTTTAGTTAATAATTATTTTTAGAACCTAAGTTTTTGAAAAAATGAATATCGAAAAGAAAACTCAATGAAACGAAATTCCACTTTTCTTAACAAATCAATCGAACATAAAAAATCTCGTTGGATAAAAGTTTACTTTAGAAAACAAAAAGTTTGGTTATATATTCAATTGTCGAATCTTCTTCCAATAAGTCTGTTAAAATCAGATTGTTTTCTACAAACTCATGTGTATTATGAAAGATAAAGTTTTGGCATATTTTTCTATGAGAAAAAGTCAAATCTGACGATTTATCGAACTATTCGATTTTTTAATTGGCCTACTCAATGTGTTGAATGAAAGAAGAAAAATTTGCTACAATAACTAAACGACTGAATAGTAAAGCTATTGTTGTTAGGAATCTGAAAAACGATATTTTTCAGACCAAGTATCAATACAAAATTTTCTTTAGTTTCGATCTTGATTAGAACTAATAAAATGTACCATTTTCACATATATAAAAACGTTAAATTGATTCTTTTCTGAAATTAAACGCATCCTATATATATATCGGCTGATCTAATACGGCTTGAGGATGAAAGAAATAAATTTCTATGATATGAATAACTAAGACTTCTATTTTTAGGATTAGTTTCGGATCTTTTTTGGGAAGATTAAGCCTAAATTTTACTGTTTTTTTTTTCTACTGTCAACGAATAGCAAAGTTTTCTCAAATATCCATAAGTAAAACAATAAAACTAAACAGTTGACACTAAAAACCTAGCAGAACAATGGTAAAAACTTGTACATACAAGCGAGTGTCTAACCTACTGTCGAAGCAAATCTATGTATATTATGTTTTTCCTACTCGAGAAACCACTAAAGTTTTCAAAAATGTCGATTTTTACAAATACGTAATAAAGCTTGATCACCACCAGTATGAATAAGTTTTAATCTCGGCAGGATCGCAACCATTTTGAAGATCCCTAATTGTTGCACACCATGTAATCAACCGCCTTCATAAATACCAAAAGTAGACAAGTGTCTTCTTTACACTGTTAGGCAACTAGAAACTTTTTCGAGTACGAGTATTGGCCCATCATTCCAGTACAAATACGAATACCATTCATTAGCGGATGAGTAGTACTAAATAGTTGCAGATCCTTCCAACTGTGGTCTCACTAAGTAGTCTATGCTCATATATCGATGAATCATCAAATCAATGTCGAAATGCACTACCTAGTTTTTGTGCAGGAGCAAAAGATAGAAATACGATAAAAATATTTTAAAATAAATTCTCTTTCAAACTGCGTTTTTGTTTTTTCGATAAAATTAGACTCGCGCAGTTGAGGGCGCTACAGTACAGCGTTAGCTCAACATGAAATACATATAAGAACTATGCAACGTTAGATGTCGCATAAAAGCCGTCATAATTTTCGTCTATAACTCCGCACTTTTAGTTGGACAGAGGAAATTAATAGCGTCAATAGTCGATATTAATCTTTAACTTTACTTATTATAAAAATGAGCTCTTAAAAGTGAGTCTCACCAAAGTGCATTAGTGGATATCGTGTTCAACATTGATTGGCTTTTCTGATATGCTTTTTTTCACCAGCACACGTACTAAAGGTGCGGATCCAAAGTTTTATTTTTTTTTCTCTCATTGAAGATCGGGTTCAACTGTAGAAATATAGCTTCTATCGAGTTTCTATCAACAGCTAACTCGTACCAGATATTGTTTTACCTGTTTGAGAATTTTTTCATAAGATAAAAAAATAACAATATATTGATGCAATGATATAATAATCAATATTCAACACATAAGATATAGTTGTCTATTTATAATGAACGAGAAAACAAAAAGACGAGTATATCTTTCTTTCTTTCTTTCTTTTTCTTCGAGAGTGAACAAATTTGACGAAATCAAACTCTATACGGCGAATATAATGGTCGTATGAAGTGAACCAAAGTGTAGTCCATGTCCATATTATACCATTATGTGTATATATATATATTATAGAGCGACCGATAGCTGTTGCTATGCATCAATCATGAGTTGTGTCTAAATTCTAAATGAACTTCTTCAACACCTTTTCGTTCATCGAATTTCAAGAGAACACAAGACATTTCTGAGTTCTACCTGTAACATCATAATTATATGCTTCTCGTTCTTCACGAGTTCTTTTTTGTAAACGTTCTTGATGTACACGATAAACAGTCGCTCTATGAGCAAACTGTTGTTTTATCAAAGACCGAATCGGTTCTCTAATTGGACGGCAAATTTTATTGCCACGAACATGCATAATTGTTCTATTGGTAACAATCATATGACCACCGCCGTTGTTCATAATAATCAAAGAACATGCAAATGGACAAATAGGACGACCAGCACAATAGAGAATACATCGTAATAATTGATTATGATCACCAGTTTATACACCGAAACTACAATTTCTAACACATAAACCACAATACTTGTTAAATTTCTTGATATATGGCAAAAGAATATACAAGTATTCTACATATCCACCCTTGATTGTTTTTGTTTCTGTTGGGATGAATCAAATGGAATACCTAAAAATGTTGGAAAAAATAATGCTGACAATAGTATGACTTCACCAAATTTATAGCGAATTTGTTTTCGCTATCAAAATAAAAATGACTTTATCGGTAATTTGGTATAATAAACTTTTATTTTCTTATATTACAATCAGTCCTTTTCAACCAAATTCGTCTTATTAGATGGAAACTATTTTTAATTGTTTTGCTTTCTTGTTTATACTGCATTTTATCTTTTAAAAACAAGATAACAGGTGAACTTAGAGCACGTAGATAATTGATTTAATATATTAAATACCGCAAAAGTTTGTTAATATGTATTCGTATTACCTAGTGGCGGCGCTAAGGGGAGGCTAAAGGGGGCTGAGCCCTCCTAGAATTTGTTTCAGCCTCCCCAGAATTTTTTAAAATTACTGCATAAAATCAATGATCTCTCCTATTTGGAGAATTTAGGGGAGGCTCAGCCTCCCCAAACGGAAAATTCTGGTGCCGCCGCTAGTATTACCTGGTGTATCAGCAACCTTGTCCACCATACTACTTGTTGTTTTAGCTTGCTTTGAAAAAAATATTTGTTTTGGTGATTTATCATCAACTTCGCTAGATAAACCCATTGCTTTAAATACACGAGCAGTTTTCTTGTTAATTTTTGTTGTTCGAATTGATTTCAGTTTTACCAAGTCCACTAATTGTAATTTGAATTGATATGATGATGGTAACTGTATGTTAAAATTGTTATCATCTTGTGAATCTTCAATACTAATGTTTGGTGGTGAACCTGAAATAATATATTTTAATATTAAATAAAAATTCTACATAAGAATCCCAAATTAAAACAGAACTAGGTCTAATATTGAAAAAAGTCTTTTCCTGTCTTAATTATGAATGACTCAGTTTATATCACATTGAACTGGATGACAATAAGTTGCTCATTAGAAATACAATAGAATCTTGAATGATAACCAATTAAAATTAATTAGTACTAACCAATATTAATGTTGGAATTCGAACATGGTTGAGATTGTATTGAATTAATAGATAATTTAACGGAGTCGTTATTAAATAAAACACGTTTCTTTTGTTGTGATGGAATGTTCTGTGATTGAGATGTTAAAGGTGAATTTGGTGTATCTGATGAAATCCAATTACCTATAATATCAGCAATTTCTTTGCGGTGTAAATGTTTAAATTCTTACTCGGATATTTTTCATTACGATCCATATTTGATATAAATTCTATTTGGCTTTCCGTTTGAAACTCAATTGGTTCTGGAGAATTGTTTGGAAATAATTAAGTTTTCAATGGAGAGAGGTCTTTCTGACGAAGTGAATGACTATGAATAATTTCTAAAATCGAGAAAAATAAGCATCAGAAATATCTGTGAAATTAAATTTATTTTCATGTATGCTTGATGAACATATGTTCAAAATAGAACTCTCTGCTCTACCATCTTGTTTCGACGAGTCATCTTCAACAGAACCAGATATATTCAATAAAACATTTGCGCGAGTCTGAAAAAAAAATAAATTATATAAATAAAGATAAAGTCGAAGTTTTTACCGTTGTACGATCTTCAATATTTGTATATGCTCTATCATCAGGACGTATAGGAGTGGATGAAAATAATAGACGAGATGATTCTTTACAAGCTGTATAAACTTCTGTTTGACGTAAAATTACTTCGTTTTTAGCTAATTTACTGTAACATAAAATATAAGCATCATTATCATCAAGTACATTATTTAAATTAGTTTTTGTAATTGATGCATCATCGGCTTTGTACCATAAATGATCAAGTGATCGAATATATGAAAAAATATGACTACTATCCACGGTTTCACCAAAATGTACTACCACAGCATTTAATTGATAGATAAATTCATTAAATTTATGGTTTTCTTTATTAGATTGTAGAGCTTCTGAAGTTATAAATGATGAAAGATCAAGCAATTCTGGATACGAAATCAATTGTTTTATTTTACGAACGACTTTAACCTTTTTATCGTAAACAAATCGTTTGAGGCGAATAAAAATAACTGGTGATGCATCAATAAGTTTTGTTGATTGTAATGCTAAAACTTTTGTTCGACACTTCGAACAAAAAAACATATCATCACCTGCTAATTCTTCTACTGAACAGAATGTATCAAGACCTTGTTGAAGATTAAAATAAGAATTTATTGAAATAGACCAAATGCTTTCATAATTTTGTTTACTAGTTTCAGTCAAACATATTCTTCATTTAATTGATGTTTCTATGTTAATACCAAAAATAGTATGAATTGGAGTAGATAAATATGTGGCATATGATGATGAATAAACAGGTGAAAGATATTGTATCAGATGATTGAGAAGAACAATTAAAAATTCTGATGGATCTTCTTGACAACCAGGTATAAAGTTTGAAGATATTTTTGTAATTTGTCGAGCCATAGATACCCAGGACGAACAATCCGACTAACGGATCCATAGTATTGGAATCCGATAGGATACTATAGGAATCTCGTCGGAATCCGACTGCTGGAGTTCCTATCGAATCCGACTGTTGAATTTGATCGGATCTCTGTCGGATCCGATCGGATGTCTCTCGGATTCCAACACTAGGATTTGTTCGTCGGATCGTGACTCGGATTCCGAGCGGATTTTGTAGGACTCGTTGAATCCTATAAAATACCATCGGATCCGTGCCGGATTGATTGACCTGGGTACAGCTGATGCTTGGGACAATTCGGAAAATGAATCACACGAATTGTGAAAATTTCGATGAATATTTTTGATAATTAAACGAAGAAGACAACAAGAACAAAATTCATCATTTGTTGTTAATGTACCTAGAAAATGACAAATGACTTTAATATGATATTCTTCACATATTGATAATAAGATTTCTGTTGAAAAAAAAACTAGAATGAAAGAATGACAATAGTTCCTGAAAGGTTCACCTTATATTATTACATGACTTTCTTTGATATCATGACCAGCATGTCTCTCTCTAAATAATCTGTGATTGTTTTTTCAACATATCGAACCCTTGTCATCGTCTTCTCCTGGATTAATGTAATATACACTTTCTAAACAATCAATATGTTCTAATAAGTATTCTAATTGACAAATTCACGCTCTATCAAAGACATTCGTCTGTTAAATTAGTTTAATTGTAAAGCAGTCATGTCATTGTTTTTTAATTTCTTTTGATGTCATTTCAATCGTAGAAAAAAACGATTGAAGTTTTACTTTATACAACATGTCTCATTCGATGTATGTTCATCATCAAATTATTTCTCCTTACTTCTATCGTTTTATTTAAGACGGACGTGCTCGTATTTTTTTTTTCGTTTCGTAGCAAAATAATGAAAGCCATATACATGTAGTATTTTTATTGGCTATCAGTGAAAAGTAAAGAAGTTAATGTGTTTTTCTTTTCTTGATGATTTTTACGCGTCTGATCAAGTAAAAATGCTCACCTAAGTTTTTTATTGTTTTCTGATAGAAACAAGTTAGACATTCATAAGAAGCAGCATATATAACAGGATCATGAACATGGATACAATTAATCTTTATCCTACTCAAACTCAAAAGAATAAGTATTAGTTACTCTGGATGCAAAATTTAATAACGTGTCAACAGAAAATAAATGAAATACTATCTTATTCCTAATAGCAGAAAAAAATCATAATAGATTGAAACAATATTCGAATTAATCTAAACCTGGTGAAAAATAAGCCAACTTAAACAACAGCAGGAATCATGCTCCATTTTTTAGAAAATCAAAGGTTAGTTGAACAACTGTTAAGAGAAGAATATTCTTATATTATGCAAAAGAAAATATATATCAGTATAGGTTTATATGTATATGGCTCTCGTCATTTTTCTATGAAACAAAAAAAAACATACGCATACGTTTGTCTTGAATAAAATGATAGAATTAACAAGAAAAACTTAATCATTTTCTTTTATGATTGAAATGACATCAAAAGCAATTGAAAAATAATGATATAATTGCTCTACAATTAAACCAATTTAACATACAAATGTCTTTTACAATGTATGAATATATGTCAATTAGCGTGCCTATTAGAACATATCGATTGTTTACAAAATACACAATGTATTAATAATTTAGACAGAGATAGAAAAAGACTCAATGAGTTGGAAGAATTAAAAAGGATTTTCTACATCAATAGTAATGGGCGATGCTGTTTCGAGTATCAGACATGATAATTTCGACATTGTTATTTCAATAGACTTCTGTCCCCTTATATCTCTGTTTTCGTTACTGACAGTCATGCTGCTTTAATTGTTAAAGGTTTTTATTTAATAAATTGCTTACATGTACGATGAAGGTCATCATTCATTAACCATTGAACAAATGGAGCAGCATTAGCAAGACATTGAATGATGGAATTCATATAACAAATATTTAAACATTTTTTTGCTGCATTTGTATTATTGAGCCCCAAATCATGAACATGTGTGATTGACCATTCCATATTCAGTTGAGATGACGTTAATGGAGCAGTATCATGAAAAAGTTTTTTTAAACGTTTCAATGGTGTTTCTTGAAGCCTTCGTGATTCAATAGTGCAGCAACCTAGATATAGAGTAAGATGGAAAAAAGCATAATAAACGCAAAAAAAACTAATGATTTATCTCACGACTAGCATCAGATTCATTATGTTTGTTTAAAGATGATGAATTGATAAATGTAGATGTTAATGAAATATTTCTTTCTAAACATTTTATATAAAAAAAAATTAAAAGTTTATAAGTCTTACTTTCTTTAAATAAAACATTTTCTTCTGCAAAATCAGAACGTACAACATCAGCATCTACAAGAATAATAATTTCTAGTCGATGTAATATGGACAGCCGAAATATGTGTATTACCAAATTGGCTTGTGGTCGAGTGATTAGTAATTGTTTGATTTTCAATTAATGAAAATGTTGTTGGAGTAAAAATTTTTTTCGTTGAATGAACCTATGAACAAAAACAACAATATTTTCTAAATTCAGATAATATTACACCGACTGCATTAATTGTAAATTCAGGATTTTCTTTTGATTCATTTTCATTCGATGTCATGATATTACGAAAAAAATCAGTAACCACTTGCTTTACATTTCGACTGTTTTGAATATCACGTATAAGCATAAATGGAATATTGTGTGCAACAGCCGGTAATGCAGAATTAATACCTTCTTCAATTTCTTTCATACATAGTTCAAGTGCACGTTCAAATTTCAGCGATGATTTGGTGCTAAATCGTTTTTTAAAATCAATTTTGTCACCATATAAATCCTTTTTTATTTGACTAACTTGAATATGGTGCATGTGTGCAACTACATCAATTGGTAATGATTCACCAAATTCGTTCCATGCATCAAGCACTGCTGCAGCTCTATTTTGAATTCGTTGATGATGAAGATGCAATTGACCATTATGTTTGGCACCATTGACAGTACGAATATTAACAGAACTCATTGTAACTTGTATATAGATTATCTAAATTTTATAGAAATTCACTATTATTGCAAATGAAAATGAGATTCTAAAGTTAGAAAAACGATTAACGAAAAAAGTAAACTGAACAAGTCGTATAATGCACATGTCAATAGAGTTGTGAAATAAGAATCTCAAATAGAGTAAACTTAGATACCTATTTTTCAATCAAAAAGTACCTTCTGGTGATTTGTTTTCGATAACAAAGTATCTCAGAGTATCTCAGCGAATAAGCGATGCAAGAAAACTATAATTACTACTATTGATATGTTTCAATGAAAACTGAGTTCATGTGAAGGAAACAAAATATTAAAGAACAAACACAGATTAATACAAAAAAAGACTCCGATTGTCCCTCGTATGCAGTTAAATAACAACCAATTTTCTTTTTCATACTACCGACGATGATTCAATTATAGATACTGCTGTTACATGAATTGTTCACATATCAGGATCATCAGTTACTATCGTTGATGATAAATTTATCTCAGTCTTATGATATGTATCAAAATTTTCTGCTTTATCATTATCAATAACAATTATTTGTTTTCCTTTACTTAAAAGTTCGACATTGCCATCAGGTGAAATAAATGGACCATTTCATTCATTATTACTTTTCGGATTGTCAACACTGACTGTTAGTAATGTTTTATCGAACAATTTCTCAATTTTATATGTTTCATCATGAAAAGGTCTGAATATATATTCACAATAAGGCAAAACTAATTATATTTCATGTAGCCACCAAATATCCTACAGTATATTGAAAAACTGATTACAACGTAATAAATATATATTGCTTGAGAAGTAGGTATGTACAAGAATAAATAATGAACGTACAAATGAGCAACAAAGTTCAAAATCTAAACGAGGGGAAGAAGTTTCAACCTTCTTCATGAATTTAGCAAAACCAAAACCATATGCTTCCGAGCTCCATCGAAAAGTAGAATACACAAACAGCGAAAAGATGATTAAATCCTAAATCATGGCGTCACAAACAAGAAAAGTACTTTTTTATTTTACTTTATAAATTTTCACCTTAGTGCTATGTGTCCAAGGAGGAAACAGCTGAAATCAGATTTTTTTTTTATTTCTGTGATTTTTTGATTTTTTTTAATTTTAAATCAATGATTTAAAATAAAAAAAATAAAAAAATAATAAAAATCGAAACAATCACAGAAATAAAAAAAATCTGACTTCAGATGTTTTACCTTTAATTGATGTTTTTACACAAAAGCGATTAAAAATTTTCTGATTTTTTTTATTTTTCAAATTTCTGGTTTTTTTTTTATTCAAAATTCATTAAAAATTAAAAAAAAGTTGTTTCCCCTTGTATGTGTCTCACAATCAGAGGCAGAACACAAGCTTTTTTCAAAATTGTAAGCGCCATAGTACGTTCCATTTGTTTACAGTATTTAATATTAAACATACTGGTCTGATAGGCTATCAATGACAACCATAAAAAAGATGAACAAATTACAGTAAAACGTGGACTCGAATTTCAATGGTTCATTCGTTCTATGTGAAGTGAGCCACATTTCTTTGGCTGACATCTTTGCTTCACTTTCTACCACCGATTCTGTTCAAATTGGATTTCGTTTAACAGCGGATTTGCTGGTAACAATGTGGATACTGGCGCTCAAATGTATCAAGTCTTAAGAAAATTCAGGTAAAATTTTGGAAAAATGTAACCGAATCAGATAGTTTTTCCTCAACAGGTTCTAAAATATGCTTCTACGTTTTTCTCTTTTAGATAATAATAATAGTTTTGGCAATGATTTTGAGAACGATCAACACTACTGATGTCATCATTATATGAAAATTTTAGCATCTGAGTAATCGATAGACAATTTTAATGATAATGAAAATTAGAAAAAAATATATTGAAATTGGATATTCTGATTATTGAAGCTATTTTGATAATTATAATTAACTTTTGATTATGACTTTCTGCATTATATTTCATACGCATATATAGCATCGACTTATATTATATTTCATTCACTTGAATCTAGTATGTCTGAACCAGTTTCTATAGTTTTCCTAAGATCGACATGCTATCTTTCTGTATCTCAATGATTATTCATGTCTACATTTCTGTCTGTTATCCATGGTAGTCCATAGAAAGTTTAACATTCACTTTTTTCTTTTTGTTTTTGTTTTTGTGGAACTTCATGAGAGGTTTGCAAAAGAAATGAAAAGATAATCATCTGATTTCCTTTCCATTTTTTGTTACTCTTACTTTAAGCGTGATCAAAATAGTAAATGTTTTTAAATAAAAATAAATTTAACAAATAGATGAAGTTAAAATAAATAAAATTTTTGCGAAATCATGATAATATCAGATCAGATTAGCAATAAACATGTTGTTAATATGTAAAAAATCGGAAAACAAATCGTGATTTATCGTAATAATCACTAAAAATATCATTAAATATCGGCGATTAATCGCGATTTAGCTCACAATTATCGTTTCGATAAATCGCAATTAATCGCCAATTTTTCAGCGATTTTCAGCACATGGGTTCTTAAATAAACAAATAAGATTTTATTTGACTGTTGACAATAAAGGTGTGGGTGGAATGTGGGTGTGGGTGTAAAGGATAATAGTAGCACCTACACCCACACCCACATCCACCCACCCTTTTTCATATATACCAAAAAACATTTTCAGATGGCAATTTATTATTCAAAAATCACTGCAAGCTGTGAAGAATGTATCTTTCTATTGATTACTAACAAATTACCATAAGAATATGGGTAATTGGTCTAAAAATTTGAATGCGTTCAATTGGAATTAAATTATCAATCTAAATCCTCTATCGTTCCTATGATATATACCACAAATTTTTTTCCTTCTTTTATGTACATTAAAAAGCTCAAAATACTGAGATCATTCCATACAGAACAGTCTCAGTAACCGAATGGTCTCAGTATTTTGATTTTTTAAATGTGTATAAAAGAGGAAAAAGTTTTAAAAGTATAGTTTCTTACACAGTTGTTTAAATTCTGTCCAATCATATATAAATCATTAAGAAAAAAATGTTACCTGAAATTTTGAGTTTTTTCAATCTTACATAGATATTGGTACACATATTAGTCAAATTAGTTTATTTTTTTACGACTTTTCTTATATTAGAAGAATTAATAAACACAACATTTAACATTTGCATATTCTAAGTGGTAGAATAAGAATAGTATCTTGTCTTAGCAGAGGTGTACACATGATAAAAAGAAGCATAGAAAAGAAATGATTACAAAAACCATCGTCATCGTGTTAGGTTAATCCAACCGATTTCTATTCAAAATAAGAAGCCTATTCGAAGAATTTGTTTCTCCGTTGGATACCTCAAACTGTTGGCTACAAAATTTTCATAGAACGTTTCTTTGAATATGGCATGCGTTCGCAGAGAAATAAAGAACAATTAGGTGATCCTCAAGTTGTTGTCCTCTGTTCCTCATCGCGTTACGCAACGTATTTTTCCTACTATTTTCAAACGGCTCAGTCAAACGAGCATATTTTCAGAGATTTTGCAGATGGGAAAGGTACATCTTAGAACGAAAGAACAAACCTTCTGAGCACTCTGATTGCTGAGAAAAATTAATAAACTATCACCAAAGCGTCATCGCGTTATGCTCGTATAAGCTGATATGTATCAATAATAATTAATAATAATAGTACGAAGTAATATCCTAATTCCAGTACATATTTTGTCTACTTCTGGAATTCGATCTGTAAAAAGAAAAAAGCAAGAATACCAGAGTGTGGGTGTGAATGTTAATCTTCTTCTCATGTACATCCACAGCTACACTCATCCATACCCGCACCCACACCCAGATGTATCGATGAATTATGAAAGAATGGACGGGCACATTTCGAAGAACTCGAAAACATATATAGGTATCAATCTTCGGTTTCCGTCATTTTGTAGGTCATTCCTTTATCTCACAATAAATAATAAGAGCTTTGAAAAAATTCGAATATTGCTCTCTTAAGTTCTACGAACCTCATGCTTGCAAATGAACAGCCGATGTTCGCACTCTTTGATGCTTCTTTAATATCAAGTTCGATCTTTTCTCAATTAAAATCTATTCAGAATAGAACAAAACAAAATTCATATGCTCACTATCAATCTGTCAGAATAAGAAAAAGAAAAACAGATTCTGTCATGTTCAAGAATCACTATCGTATCAATATAGAATCGATGAAGTCATAAATTTGAGTTTATTTCAAACATGAGGATTGACAAATTGCACACAGAATGTCACTTGTGATATTTGTTCTGTTATTTGGCATGGGATTGAAATAGAACGACAGATTGTGTAATTATGTCAATTCAATACTTCATTAGAGTATTGACAAATAAAATTTGAGAGCTTGTCAATATCCGAGAGGAAAAATTAACTTCAGCCTCAACTTCATTTATTTCATTCATTTGCAGTTTTTCTCTCGCAAGTAGAAATGTTTTCAAAATGAAAGTATACACTGATGTTGTTATCTATAGTCGCCAGTTTTTTTCTAATGTTGACGAAAACGTTAAGTTATATTCTACTTTATAATACGGAAAATAAGCCAATTTTTGAAAAATTTGATTGCATCTATTACAATTATGAAGTCGGAGTTGAGATCGCCTATTGCCGGCGTCCGCATCATAGCCAACTACTTAATCGAAATCGAACTGAATGTAATAATCAGGGAGAATTAAAACGATTTCACGATCTAATCGCTCAAAATATTCATCCGAATGATATTCTCAAATGGAGCTCCAGTGTAGAGATGGTTGATCGATATGCTAGAGTCTTCTACAATCATTCATTGTTGAACGACGATGAATTTATATGTAACTGTATAAAACCAGGAACATTTGGCAAATATTGTGAATATCAATTGACACATGGAGCAAAATCATTCGCAGAAACCATTGAAATCCAGTTCGAACAAAAAAAATTACTTGATTCATGGAATACCCAGCGCTATGGAAAAATTATTTGCTATGAAACTTTACCCTGTTATTCGGGAGATCTATGTCTCGATTGGCGAGAAATATGTGATGGTTTTTCTAGATGTTTGAATGGAATCGATGAAGAAAATTGGGATAAACTCGAATTCAATGAATGTGAAGATGACGAATTTCGATGCACCAATGGTATGTGCATTGCCGAAGAATTCTGGCTGGATGGTTAGTATACGAAGACTTTCATAATGTTTCTCATTTATTCATATCTGACATTTATCGATAGGTGACCACGACTGTATGGATTGGAGTGATGAATATTTTCAAGGTCATGGTCAATGGTGTTCGTTCAAGCCAAACTCAATCGAATGCGATGAACATTTTTGTATATCAGGTATGTACTCTTGTAGTGATGGAGAATGTATCAATTGGCATACACGCTTGGCATTTCAACGACATGGACCAGCTGAAGATGACTGTTTTACCAAACGCAATCTAAATTACATGTGCGAAGCTGGGCCACATCGATCAACTTGGACAATGGACAATGGACTTTGTTGGCCAGATCCAAACTATGATGATTATCGTTATCCGTCTGGAAATATGACTGATGAAGAAATTTGTCAATACCTTTTTCGATGTTTTCTATCCAACGGTTTTGAATATGATTGTCCATGTAATCGTCTCAACTGTACATCAATGTTAATAGATGTATGTCCGACAGATGCTCGATTGATTCTTTATCCACCTGAAGGATTGATCAATTCGAATGTTTTGTTTTTTTATAACCTAAGTGAATCGATGGATAACCACAATTTCCAAATATTTGCATTACATCGAAATCAACGATGTCGAGGCTTTGTTTTTGAGGCTCATGAACCGTATTTTATACCGTTTGAACATGGTATTCTCACCACTGCTCGATCGAATCATGTACTTTGTAAGTTGAATAATTCGAATGTCGGATTTCGGAATCCAAACTCTTCATTTCGACATGATCCATTCTGTTGGAATGATTCATTAACTTTCAATGGTCGTCCCTATGCAGTTCAACTTGATATGTGCGATGAAGCAGGTGAATGCATTTCACAATATCGAATTCGTGATCGATCATACGATTGTCTAGCAGGTGAAGATGAGCTGAAAATTATTAAGAAGAATTTTTGTACAGGTAATGTTGGTCGACAACGTTTCCAGTGTTACAATGACGAAAACCGATGTCTTCCATTGAACTACTTGGGCTCAGCAACAACAGAATGTTCAAATAGCTACGATGAAATGTGGTATGGTACAGATGCACCACTTCAAATACAATTACCATGTACAAAATATGACAAAGAAAGTTGTTCTGATGCAAAAGAATACATTCGACAATCATCAATTAGAAACTGGACTTTAAATAGTACCATCATGGATGAAGCTTTGCACAGAAAATGGATGATTTTTCGTTGGTATTGTGATAGTTGGTGGAATTTAGCCAATCATACCGATGAAATCCATTCGTCATGCCAATATTGGGTTTGTCAAAATCATCGAGATCAATATCAATGTCGATCAGGACAATGTATTGATCTTGAGTGGGTTTGTGATGGTGAATGGGATTGTGCTGATGCGTCAGATGAAGAAGGGATCCTACTCATCGACAAATGGTCGCCTCATAATGCTCGATTGCCTGATATAAATCATCGTCGTCAGCAATGTCGAGAATATTATCTGCGAGCACCATTCTCGACGATTTGTAATATTTCTTTCGAATTCGGATGTTATCGAGCAAATGTAACCGATCCATTGAATATTGAAATCAATCGTCCATGCATTAATCTCACACAAATTGGCGATAATAAAGAAGATTGTTACAATGCTTATGACGAGAAAAATACATTTTCTGCAAATGCTCGCTCAGGTGATATTTGGGGTTTTCATTTTCGTTGCGACACCAAGCACAAGAACTACGTCGATGCATGTGATTCGGGCTTAGATCAGAATTGTACGGATATAGTTTGCTCAATCTATCTAGATAAAGATGGATCATGTTCAAATATCTATGATTTCATTTGTCTCAACAATAGTCAGTGCGTCAAAAATGGTCGATGTAACGGCATCCGTGAGTGTTCGTATGGTGAAGATGAATATTGGTGTCCGATGGGATCGATCCAAAATCGAATTGAGTATCGAGCGGACAAAAGGGAATTATGGTCACAGCATTCGGATTATATACTTCCACCCTGGTATCCACCTGAACATATGGAAGAAACGAACGAAGAGACAAATATCAGTAGTGATCATAATTCGACTTGGAACACCTATTCATATCGATGCAATCGTGGTATAGCCATTTTAGAAAAAAATGAAACCCGATGTCTATGTCCTCCGGCTTATTACGGTAGTTGGTGTGAATTTTTCAGTGATCGCATCAGTTTCATTTTACATGTTGATCGAAAAACGATGCCGACAAGGATTTCGAATGTGACACTACGAATCCTGGTCACTTTGTGGTTTGAAAATATGACATTCGATCATCATACATTGACCATTGTGCCCTGGATTGAAAGAGATCAAATAATCAAACATAAATTTTATCTAGTCTATTCTCGGATGGATACCATGCTCGAACACAAACGAGCGCGTTTTCATAATCGAACTGATGTCAGTTTGAATCATCCATATTCTGTTCATTTCGATCTTTTCTCTCTAGAAAATAATACTATGATTGATGCACTTGGCTCATGGCATTATCCGATATATTTCGACTTTCTACCTGCCTTTCGTATGGCTCTGACATTGAAGTTTCCTGCTCGGTTTGCCAATACGACTCACTATAATGACTCAGAACATCATTGCAATGAGAATTCTACCTATTTGCCAATATTCAATCGAAATGATTCGTATTTTTGTTCATGTAAAACAGGTTACTATGGAGTCAATTGTTCACTATATGAACCACGTTGTAACATCGAATGTTCACATGATGCATGCTGTGCTGTACGACAGCCGAATTTCTACTGTATATGTCCGCTGCATCGTTTCGGACCAACTTGTCACATAAACATGGATGCATGTATTTCGAACCCTTGCTTGAACAATGGTAGTTGCCATCTGAAGTATGATCTCAGTGAAGAAATGTCGTATCTGTGTATCTGTACGAACCGTTTCTATGGCAATCGATGTGAATATACGAATGCATCAGTACGTATAGAATTAAACATGACAATGAATCTGTCGATTCGAGCTTCTGTTGTGCAGTTGTACAACATCGCTGATTACTTCCGACTGATTTGCCAAAATCAGCAAATTCATCATAGTTTACCATCGATCATTTACTATGATCATTCTGGTATTCATGCACCTCACATCGGTCTGCTTAAACTGTATGAAGACAAGGCACATGTTACCTATTTCATTATGTATATCTTGAATAAAATGACGATTGACATTCGTTTGTCACCTCAGCTGTGCCCGCACGTTGAATCATTATTCTCAAAAGGTAAATAATAAGTAATCGTTGATTACGATAATGAATATTTTTTCTCTCTTTTAGCTGTAGATAGATCTGTTCCAGGTATCTTTCACTATCATCAGATTTGTCGTAATGATACCGAACGGTTCTGTTTCTACGATCAAAATTTTCTTTGTGTCTGTCAAGATGATCACTATCGTGCAGACTGCTTTAGTTATGATAGTCAATTAGATCAATGTGATCGATGTCTAGCCGGAGGACGATGTCTACAAGGCGATCAAAAAGATGTGAATGATTTTATTTGTCTTTGTCCGACATGTTATCAAGGACGTCGATGTGAATTTAGCTTAGAACCATTTGGTTTTACGATTGATTCACTAATGAGCAACTATTCGAAACAAACGAAGTGTATTTATTTTTCTATCACTTTTCTTCTATTCATAATTGGTCTCTTTAATAATCTTTGTTCTATTGTTACTTTTAAACGACCTAAGCCTCGACAATTCGGTGTCGGAAACTATTTGTTTACTGTGTCGTGTCTCAATCAAATCGCTTTATTTTGTTTATTAACGAAACTAATTCAAATAATGATGAATGTCAATCCCTTTTACATTTGTAAAGGAATCTCCTACATTCTTTCAGTTTCGACACGATCGACGTATTGGTTGATGAGTTGGGTGACCATCGATCGGCTGCTAATCATCTGCTTTCCGATGTCAACAACATTAAAAAATGCTCGTTTATCTGTCAAAATTAATGTTTTCACGTTACTGACTCTTTTCATCATGCATGCTCATGAAATTGTTGGTTACACCATGATTGAATACGATGACAATAAATTGTCAACTTGCGTAATCAGCTTCAGTCATCCTGTAATTTTAACCTACAATCGAATTTCGACACTCATTCATCATTTGCTTCCATTTATCATTCAAGTAGTGTCGGTGACATTTTTGATTATAATGATCGCCAATAGTCGAGTACGAACAGTCGATCGAACAGTGACATTTGGACAAGTGATCAAAAAAGAAATGCGAACTCAAAAAGAACTCTATATCATTCCTATCATCATCATTCTTTCGGTTCTGCCTCAAGCTGTATTCACCTTTAGCTTAGCCTGTAATCAATTAACGGACTGGCAACGGCACGCTTTGCTTGGCACTTATCTTCTTTCTTTTTCTCCACAGATACTCGGCTTCATTCTTTATGTAATGCCATCGACAGCATACAGGAAGGAATTCGCTTCAACAAATCTAGCCCAGAATGCTCTTTCGTTCTTATTCCATGATTAAGATAGGAAGCTCTGTTGCATAACTGTTTGAAAATGATTTTTGTTTCTTGCGTACAGATTTAATGAACTAATCATAAAATTTACACCAATAATGAATGCTACATTTGCAATCATCAAGAAGAAAACGATGAATTGAATCGTATAAATTTATACATATTAAAAGAGAAACAATTAGAATCATCTGCTGAGCAACTTTACGATTTTTAGTTTTATCACTGTGAACTCCTTTTGAAATACTCACTTTTCAATCCGATCACTATTCAAATAACAATTAGAAATAAAATCCATTTGCAATTCAACGAGAAGACCGATTTTAGTCATAAATATGGTGATAAAAATTACCGGTAGGATTGACGATGTCAACGACTAAATATCAGAGCCAATATCACATGTTTTATGTTTGCGAAAACTGAGAAAGGAATATATGTTGCTTACAAAACCCAAGATTCTCGACAAATACAAACGTTATTAGACATATAGTATTATTCAAAAAGTATTGACCTTCGTCTTCACATAAATCGAAGCTATGAAAATCGTAAATTCTATTGCGCTCAGCGTTCAAACCATAAGTGTGAGTATACAGTCTTTCACTGCATCTACACTCAGTACTGCGAACTTATTCCTCTTTGAAAAGAAGGCTGAATCTTCAGAACTTTAATACTCACAGCAATAATGAAAACGTGATAGATGAGAATTGAAAAACAAAAGATGAAGTCGAGTTTACAAAAAATTGGCATAGTTCATCAATAGTTAACTATGGCTTCTCAACATTTTTATCTTCAATAATGTAAGGTATTTGAGTTGAAACACTATTAGCAAATGTGTGCAATAAAGTGAAGCAATAATGTATAATTTTTTTTATTCGACGGCATATAACTATAGTGTGACCTAACTAAACGTGCTCCTTTTTGTAAAATTATAAAAAAAAATTTTACTTAACTTTCATTTAGTCACAAGCAAAAAAGCATATATCTGAAATAACATTGTCAATGGCAAAATAAAAAGTTCACTTCATTGTATTCTATAATGCACTCCTATTTAGAAAAAGCTTTCAATGAAATACCGAAAGTAAATGGGGTGGGCGTGGGTGTGGGTGCGGGTGTGGGTGTGGGTATGGGTGTGGGTGTGGGGTGTGGGTGTGGGGTGTGGGTGGGTGTGGGTGTGGGTGTGAATGTGGGGTGTGGGGGTGAGTGTAGGGTGTGGGTGTGGGGTGTGGGTGTGGGTGTGAATGTGGGTGTAAATACTCGTTGAAACTACAACCACACACATACACACACCCATACCCATACCCACACCCTCAAGTGAGCACAATAACTACTAACACAGTTCTTATTTAAAAATGAATAAATCGTTTACAGACATTGCCATATATATAGATACAGATGCATGTACATAAAGACATCAAGCGACATACCTTGAAGATCAGAGAAGAATCTTTTATTTTTTGTTGTCAAAAGAATCATATTTGACTTTCAAGATTAAAAAGAATCTTGCCCAATCCATCAAGAAAAATAAGAATTCGAACAGAATAGATCCAAGAACGTCGATTAGTATTATGTCATTTTCATTAAAAATAAATGTTGAATGGTAATACATCAGTCAATCAAAGTAATATTTTTTTTCTTTTACTTTTTTTCATTGTTGTAGTCAAGATTACTTTTCGTCACTTTTTATAAATAAATCAGATATGTTTGAATGACAAGAAATTGATTATTTTAGATATGTGTTTTGGATTATGATTGGAAACAACGTTCGATCGAATACAAACACAATTGCATGTTCATTTCATTTGAGAATAATTCACTTCTTCCTTCATGTCTAATACTTTTGATATGTTAGCTCATCATTTTTTTCTACAATTTCGATTCGAATCGAAAACATCAATTTTATTTTTCTTTTTTCTTTAATTCATTAAATCTGATACATTTGTGTGACTAATTTCATGTTTTCAATATCAATGCAAGCTTTGTAGATATAAGACTAAGGTATCGTTTATTTTCATGATTTGAGAAAATTTCCAAGTATAAATTAAGAAAAAATGTTTTTTCTAAGAAGTACAATTTAAACCCTAAGAGATATAAAAGTGAATTTTATAGCAAATGAAAGTGTTTATTAGAAGCAGGATCTAGATATATAATTGATCATTCATAAGATGAAAATAAACTATAGAATGATGGAAAAGGTGAAAATTTTCTAAATAGAATCTAACATTTTCACAGATAGTCAATTAAAAAAGTCTTAGATTCTCAGAAATCTTTTTCTTATCTGTTGAATTTTGCAGATCTCTCTTCACTGATCATTTTGATAATGTTCTTAACAATTTGATCAATAAATGTCGATGCTAGAGTTTTAATATACTCATAAATATCTTAGTTCTATTTGGCAGAGAAGTTTAAACTTTTCAGTTTATTAATTGTAGCATTATTATTTTATTGATCAAATTAAAGACAATATCAAAATGATCAGAGAAGAGAACTCTATAAAGTTCAATAAATAAAACAATTTTCGAGAATTTAATATATTCATAGTTGACTACTTGTAGAAGTGTCCAATTCTATCCCAAAAATTTCCATAATTCCACAAATTATTTTCCTCTTATGAATGATCAGTTATACTTGTAAATTGCATAATTGATAGGCTTTCATATCATGTAAAATTAACTTTTGTATCTCTTATGATTTGAGCTGTACTCTCTAAAAAAACAGAAAAAAAGATTTTTCTCTATTCTAAACTTTGATCTTTTCAAAAAGTAATCTGCGATATAAAATTTAATCATAGTTTTTTCAGGAACACCTACCTTTCTCTGTTTGAAAAAAGAACAAATCTGAACTATGAAAAATGTGTGAAAGACAATCTTTGTATATGAATGCTAATGAAAAACAATCTGAATATTGAACATTGATTAAAAAAAGTAGCTTTTTGAAAATCGACTCTATGTAAATGTATGCTACATATCAGAACTATTTTTTCCTATTAAAAAAAGAAAGATATATCAAATGAAAGTTAACACAACATGTTTTAATCCACCTTTTAATCAAAACTTTTGCAAGTTTTAGATTGATTTTATGAAAAAAAACAATTGATTAAATTCTTCATGAACAACATTGTAGTCTCAAGAAGCTAGTCTTAATTTTGTTTTTTCTACTAACATAATTTAATGATTAATTGATAAGATAAGTTCGATATGTAAACTTTGAAAGACAAAATAATTGTTTTCGTCAAAACATAAATTTATTATGTCTCTTTTTTCATTGTTCAAGAAGCACAGAAGATTTGCATCTAAAGTTAGGAGATCGATGAAGTTTTCTACAATCTACATTGTCTCCTATTTGATTTTGAAGAAAAGATTTTTTCTTTAAATTTTCGAAGAAGATCTCCATTGTTTTTTACTTGTACTCAAGTTCAAAAGAATTCATTTAGATTCTCATTTCGACTTTACCATTTGTATCCATGATTGAAGATTTCGATCATGATTTTTCTATCGCATGTTAATGTATTATCTGATCAACAGAGTTTTTTGGTAAAAATACTCGAAAAAAAAACATATCAGATAATGCTGTTGATTGAAAGAAAAATGACATTTTTTTGTTAATTTTTTGAAAATTCGAATAGAAATTTTCTTAACAAGAATTTCAATTAAAATCAGTCTTTGTTTCAAGTACAAAAGTGAGTTTCTATGATGTTAAGATGTTATTTAATCGAATAAAACTCATTTTAGAGAAATTTATCTTTATAACCGAAAGAAAAACGATTTTAATTGAATTTTTTGTTCAAAAGCTTTTGAACAAATATGAGACAACAAACAAATGAGTTCTTTTCTTGGTCAGATTGATCACAGTTCCTGATGGGATATTGAAACTAACATCTCGAAGTATTTGTTCTAATCTATAATAACAATAACCAAAAGATCATATTCGAAACCTATTCAAAATTCACAAACAAAGAGTTTATGGTGCTCTTTTCTTGCCATATCAGCACGTCTGTGTCATGTCCTGCGATGAAGTCAAAAGGACATTTCTCAAGGTTAAAACCATTTTTCAATGATAAAATTCTTAATTAATTAAAAATTCAAACAAAAACTGGAGAACTCTTCAAATCAAAAAGGGAAAGATGATTTTAATTGATGAAATTCACTAAAATCTGGAGAGAATTCAATGAGTTACACATTCTAGTATCTTCTATTTCTATTTCAATTTTCCTCTTTTAAGATTTCTGTAGATTTTTCTGAATTTTGATCTATCATAAATCTCTTTGATTTGATAAGATTATTTGTGAATAAGAATTCTTTTCAATTCCCGAAAATTCTATGTAAATTTTAAAAAATTCATTTTTATTCTTTTCTGAGAATACACTTTTCATCTTACAAAATTTGTTCTCTCTATATTTCAACAGTCGCATTAACAATCATATTGAATTAAAATTTGAACGTTGAAAAAAACTTATTTTTCTAGAGTAACAATATAAAATCTTGTGCAAATATAAGAATGATCTTCAATATTCTTTTTGATGATATAAGAATATCTCATGTGAACAATTTTCTTTCAAAAACCGCAAATTAGTCAATTATAATCATTCACTTTCAACCGGGTTTTTATGAAACATATATAATACAATAGATTCTTATTCAATTGTATTCGCTTGATATGGATAAACGCTTTGTTTGATGTGAAAGCCACTGTACATACAAATACAAGAAACGTACACAACCAACTAAATCTATAAGTATCTGACTATATCGAAGGAGAAAAGCATATATATAATAGACAGAGAGAGAGGAAGAGAGAATAACAAATAGATAGAAGAAGATCAATCAGTTCATAGCATTGCTAAGAAATCGGCTATTTCGATCACAGTTAAGAGAGAATCAATCGTTTCTGGTCACAAGAATCAATTTTTGTGACAAATCATACTTGCCTTTTGCTTAATTATAATCGGAATAGTCGATGAAGTTCTGATGTTATAATATAATAGATTATTATTAGTTATGTGCCTTTCTTTTCGTTTCTACTGTTGTAATCGGTTCTTATTGAAGTATTTCTTCTGATCAGTCGAAAAATGTAGAAGAAAAACGAAAGTGGAGAAGGTTAAGGGTACTTTTTATTATTATGCTTATTTTATAAATATTGACATCACACTAGCTAATGTTTTATGACAATAAAATAAAATAAAATAATTATTAGTAAAATGAAAAATATTCAGAAAATAAAAAAAACTACTGAGATTCTAAAATACTAGGCTATTAACCAATGTTATTGGCTTGGCGTCAATTTATGTTTACTGTTAGCTAAAACGAAAAGAAATAATTAATTTTATATAATAAAAACTAACCAAGTTAAAAACATGAAACAAATACACTCATCGATATTACAATTTTGTTTTAGGAAAGATTTTTCTTCATATCTTACTAGAGTATTTTGAATTCTTTTGATAATAATAGTTTCGATGACAATTGATTAAGATGAATCTACAGATGTATCTTCTGTAAAAATTTAAAAAAATGAAATTATTCGTTGTTTTACTATTCGTTAAAAAAATAAGATTACTTCTTGTCGACTGTGATAGGCAACTTTAAGTAAACGAAGTTCTTCACAGAATGTTTCATATCGATAGGCTATTCGAATATTTGGTACATTTGTACGACGAATATCATTACCAAAAATACCAGGTTCTTTATAATTTTGACCAAGCCAAGATTTTTTAACCTAAATCATACAAAAAAAATAAATTCCAAGCAAAATCAAATATCTTGTAACATCATACTTCATCAGAGAAACCACTCATTAAAACAGAATTTCGTGCTAATTCACACATTTCAACCGATGATAATTTCCATACTTGAGCAGCAATTGAATATTCTTCCATTAATGGTTCCTGAAATTTTTTATATTTTCTTTGTTTTTTTTTAAACATTCGTTTAAGTGATATTGTTTTCTCTTTACTAGAAATGTGGACCAGCAGACATATGTGCTATTTCTGACGTACATATTATTTCGAAAGCGAAATTGTTGTAATATAGTACATGATTCCAAAAGTCTGCTTTTCTCTACGAAGATTAGCTTGTTACGTCATTAGATAAAGATTTTAATACTGAACAAGATGATGTTGCTTTTAAAATGATCAACGGAAATTCTTAGATTGTTTTTTCCAATTTAAAACGCTCATTGGCATAAGATTAGGCATGCACCGAGCCCGAAATTTCCGGGGTTCGGAATTCCCGGGTTCGGTGCATGCCTACATAAGGTCAGAAATAGTATTAGGATAGTTTGGAAAAACTCCGATTTGATGGTGTGTGTGTGTGTAATCAGTTCATTGGATCTGAGTCGGCCTGTTGAAACAGTTCAGTCTCTAGAATTGTGCTATCTGGAAAATGTTGCTTCCCTTTTTCTTTCTATTGAGATACTTTTGGTTTCAAAAAAGTTCTTGTTTTGTTATGGAAAACCTTTCCTAAAATACAAGAAAACTCTTGAGACAGCTCAGCTTCAAAAAATAAATTTTTGAAACAGTCCTTTAACCCAAGCTGAGCTGATGTTTCCAAGCGACTCTTTAATTCATTTGATCGGAACTCATCATCTGGAGTTATTCAAGAATTACTTATCTGAAAAGGTCTTTTGTCGTGTTATGTGAATTTTTATTTGAAAAATACATGAAAATATTTAGAAATCTTATTGTATATTTGAAATACTAGTAGCTAAGCTTCTTGAAAATTTTTTTAAGGCTTTGACGGCCACATTTGGATCGCTGAATTATTTGAAAACTGTTCTCCGATAAGAAGTACTTGTTTGAAAAAACAAAAAAAAACACTTTTACAAAATAAAAAATTTATCGAATGATATCAAAGTAGAGAGTGTGGATGGGTGCGAGTGCGAAGGTAGGCCTACATTTCTATTCGGATAGCTAGGGTTCAAATGAATAGACTCACACACCCATACCCGTACTCACAAATTAAAATTTTAGCAGAATTTTTTTTTTTTCGTCATTAGTTTCATAGAGCTTGTCGAGTTATACATACGCTGTAAATATCCTAAAATTCGAATATCGGGCTCTTGATATGACAACAAGAACCTCTATTTTAAATTTCTTAGTCCAATGATGAGAGAGTGTAGATGTGAGGTATTCTTCGCTTCACACCCACACCCTAAATGTTGAGTTTTTGCATAAACTGAATTTATGTGACATGTCAGTAGGAAACGACTATTTTCTCAAAATTCAATACTTTGACGAAGGAATATCCTTTTCCGTTGGGTCTTTCAGCATATTTTGAGGCTCATTAGATCTATCTATAAGAATAATTTTAGATCAAAATTCCACTTTTTGATTTTTCTCTGAACATTTAAATGCAGGTCAAAAATTCGATAAAACAATCAGAACTAATGCCAAAGATGAATGTAGATGTATATCTTGGTGTGACAGTTCTCGTCATCCACATCCTATGTCCTTTTTCATGGATGAAACTCGGTGTTTTTTTTTTCAAACTATTCTCTACTTCCTGCTTCACTATCGAAGCAGCCCATTAAAACCGACTGAATCAACATTGGCAGATAAGAGAATTTTATGTATCACATCAGACCTTAACATTTCGATCAAAGGAAATCGCATGATTTCTTAATCAACTTTCAAAATTTCTCTTTTCATAATAATAAATGAAAACAGCGCAGATATCAAAGATAAAATCATTCTGAAAAAAAAAATATTCTACCTTAGTAAAATGAAATTGTAGTGGATCATCTGTTGATAAGGAAACGCAAAGACCACGTTGAAAATATTCCAACAATGGATTTTGATGGTAATTAATAAATAATGAATTATTACTTAATGGTGACATAGCTATACCAATTTGACATAAATAATATAAATATTGTAATACAGGTGACTAAAATAAATACCACAATAATAATTTTAATATATACAAAAAAACCACGAGTTGCCTAAATCGAATTCGAAAATAAATGAAAAAAAA